TTACTACGATTAGATTGCAAGTGGAACTGAAGAAGTTAGGAATCTTTAGTGTTGGTACAGTTCGAGCGAATCGGTTACCTGATCTGACGATGAAAGACGAGAAGCAGTTAAAACAAGAAGGTCGAGGTGCAACCGATTATAGAATTACCTATGTCGATGGCATAGAATTATGTGCTACATGGGAATTTTAATAATCAGAGAAGAAATTTTTTTTTGAAGATTTTGACCCGCTTCAGCCGGATGTTACCTTTCGGTTACATGTTAATACTCTGTTAAATCTCCGTTATTCTGCCCTCAAATTTAAAATGGGTTATCTCCATCGTATAACTAAAAAAAATATGTGCCATAAGAATTTTTTTCTTTACGGGATCTAGGAGCCGGCCGTAAAGGGTTAATAGGCGGAACGGAAGGTAACGGAAAGAGCTGATGATCTGTATCAGTTCCGTTAGTGTGTGGTTGTCCTACTTCGGAGTTCGAATAATGAGTGACGGGATCGAGGTCTTCGTGATAATGTTTATTGATGAACGACGAGAGAACGAAAAAAGAGGAAACGACCGATGTCGATCACAGTTCAAAGAGAGGCCAGACAGGCGGCATAGAGAGAAAACCAGAGAGAGAGCGAGAAAGGAGATCTATATATCATGGCATCGAACCGCACATAGGACATATAGATCTGAACAAGAACAGAAAGAAAAAAAGATAGCGATAACAATGTACTATCCGCTATCGCTAACAAATTCCAACTTATGGAACAAAGATTCTTGTCTGAAATAGACTTACAGTTAAGTCTGAGTAATCGGATCTTTACAAATATACCTATATAGGTTTAACTCAAATTTTTTAGGTTCTAACTCTTTCTTTTGTCTTTAGTCCCAATTTTTTTAGTCTTCGTTCGACAAGTCATTTCCCTTGTTCGAATAAAACCAACATGAATACATTTTTTCGAGAAATCCGTTGGATTAATCGTAAACTACGGCACGTGATACACCAGTTCTAATGTTCTTATTTTCTTTTTATTTAAAACATCATTTCAGACACACCCGAATTTACAACATTCAACACTTAATAAATCAAAACAACTAACTAACCACACTGACAAAACCACCGTCTAATTCACGTTTACCTAAACCAATTGCAGTTGCTGTTCCAAGTGATGGATGGATGGCACTCGCACCTACTATTGCAGCGCCGGCAAGAACTGGATTAACGACTTTATCACGAATACTGGTCCACCAACTACGTTGTTGTGCATTCAATGAGCCCAAAAACGATTCGATTTCATTTTCAACTTCAGTATTCAATTCACGTTTGCCTAAACCAATAGCAGTTGCTGTTCCAAGTGATGGATGGATGGCACTCGCACCTACTATTGCAGCGCCGGCAAGAACTGGATTAACGACTTTATCACGAATACTGGTCCACCAACTACGTTGTTGTGCATTCANATTTCATTTTCAACTTCAGTATTCAATTCACGTTTGCCTAAACCAATAGCAGTTGCTGTTCCAAGTGATGGATGGATGGCACTCGCACCTACTATTGCAGCGCCGGCAAGAACTGGATTAACGACGTTATCACGAATGCTGGTCCACCAACTACGTTGTTGTGCATTCAATGAGCCCAAAAATGATTCGATTTCATTTGGTAAACCGAAATGGTTAGAAAGATTTTCTTCATGTCGTAATGGTATTGATTGTACACCGATGAAGGCGAATGCTAGTAATGAGAATAAGGCAGAAATTTTCATGATTTCGCTTTGTAGTTGCAGTGTTGTATTGTTTGTAATGAATTGAAATTGATTAGAACATGTGGAGTATTTATTTGGGGATCCTATGTTCTTGAGAAGTCGTGCAGCTGTCGAATTTTCTCGCTGAAATGCTTCTATGGCGTCATTTTTTTCGAAGAAAGGAAGAGTCATTTTTGTATGATATTTGGTTATTGAATGACGTGGCAGAAGGATAATGGTGTTGAGTCATTTGATAGTACTTACTAAAGTGTATTGGCGGACCGGTATCAGTGTGACGATCTTTTTCGCATGCGCTGTACGCATGCTATTTGTCCCTACTTTGGTGTATTTTTATGTACGTTGGCCTCATCATTCCTTCCTTTCTATCGAGAGAAGGGTATATAAACGTGTGTTTTGTATTAGAACGATGCGATTGATGATAGGAAGAAATAAAGAGAGACATGATTCCATCGGGATGCACATCTCTTCCATCAGAATTCGTCACAATCAGGGAATCGAAAACAGATAAGATCCATTTCTCAGGTAAAAGGGAAGTTCATTCTTTTGGTCTTAGTCTCTTCCAGGAGGCCTGTAAAATTCGCTGAATGGTCATCCATTTCTAAATACAGGTATGAGTAACGACAAATTTACGATCTTTTTCAGTTGACTAGCAGTAATTCTGATGAGTCGATTTGAATACAATTAAGAACAACAATGATGGTTGTAGCTACAGCACCTGAAAGTATATTTGGGTGTTTGAGATGAGGTCCATCAAGAAATTGATATTGTTTTTCTAAGTTGTTACAACAAGATATTTTAGCGCAGATACTTCAGTTGAATAATTAGAATTTGTAGAATCTGAATAGGTTTGTTACGGAATTTCGATATGAAAATATACAAAACGATGAATATTTGGTTTAAATCCAGGCTATGTACAGGGGGGTAAATAATATTATTCAAGGGTGCTAATACTATATTTTCAAGCCGGAGATATAATGAATTTTATACTAAATCAGAGCCCATGAAAAATGGGGTTTATTGATGCTATAAGGCAGGGCTATATAAATCTTCTAATACTGAACTCAAGAAACTTTTAGAAATTTTATACATTTTTCGGGATGGAAAATGAAAGTACTAATAGTTCATAAAAAAAGGAAAGAGTTTCTCTTGGACATTGTTAGATTTAACTGAGTTTTTCTTTGTGCAGCTGATTTATTTTAAAAGAAAAAAGAGACTCTTTGACGCTCAAATTCTAACACTCCCAATCTTTAAAATAAATCTGAAGTCAGTTCTCGTATAAACGACTCGACGGCTTGTACCATGACTTAACTGGTGTTGCGCTAGTCAATTCAATTTTTAGCATATCTCGTTGTACTAAATCAGATTTAATTCGACCTTGAACATCTTTTAGTTGATATGTCCCTAAAGTACCAATATGAATAATTTTGTAGGGACCTGTCCAACGAGGTTGAAATTTTTTTCCATTAATATGACGAAATAAAACCCAGTCACCTTGCTTTAATCTATGAGCGGATGGTTTCAAATGTTGATCATAGTAATTCTTCATTGTAATAGTATTGGATTTCAAATGCTGATGCACCTTTTCACGATCTTGAAATATCTGATTAATTTGTTCGTTACGATGCAAAAAATCATTCGAATCATCATTGTTAAGAATAGGAATTAACTGATCACCGGGTAATTAGGCTTCGACACCATATACCATGTAAAATGGACTTTTCCTGTTGCATGATGTTGTCGAATACGACAAGCAAATAAGGCACGATTAATATACAAGTCCCATTTATTAACAGCATCATCAGCGATATACTTTGCTAACATTCCAGCAAATAATCGATTGAATCGTTCAACAACTCCATTTGTCCTGGGATGGTAAGCAGATGTTAATAAATGTTTGATACCAATAAGTTTGAAATATGAATTTAATGTGACTATCGTAAAGTTGGTACCACGATCAGTGATAATTTTGGTGGGACAACCAAAGCTGAGGACAATTTCCTCGTAAACAAATTTAGCAACGAATTCATGTGGAGCTGATGAACTGGCTTTAACGATTGGGCACTTGGTTGTGTGATCAATAGCAGCTAATATCCATCGATTACCGGTTGATGTCACCGGTAATGGACCAATAAAATCAAGACTCCGACGATGAAAAGCTGGAACTGGAACTAACGGATGTGATGTTTCAGTTGTTCTTTGGCCACCAGTTGATATCTGACATTGAGGGCAACTTTCAATCGATTGTTTGATATCATTATTCATTTGGGGCCACCAATTTCTGCTTTGTAACAATTCTTGTGATGCACTAGCACTAATATACCCATAAGCGTTGTGCATTTTAAAGACAAGATCCAATCATGCAATACATGGTACAAAAGGAACAACTAGTTCTTCATTTATCTTTCGATATAATGTTTCACTTGCTTCATCGTAATCGAATAACTCTAATTGTTCGTTAATTAATTGTTGAATATCGGACAGAACATCATTATCGAATTCTCGACGTTGTAAATAATCAAGAATTAATAACGGCCAATCTAAATATTTATTTTCATTATTAACGATCAGCTGAGTTGAATATAAACCTGATAAAGCATCGGCAACAACATTATTTTTTCCAGGTTTATATTCGATCGTAAAGTTGAAATGCTGAAGATATTCCATCCATCTAACCATACGACGTGATAAATTCTTTTGCGTTGAAAGATATTCTAACGATTTGTGATCAGTTCGTACAAGAAAAGTCATTCCTTCAAGATAAAGTGCTAACTCCTTAAATTCTTTACCACCCATCGCTAAAACTTTATTTTCAAGAATAATCAATGCTTCATTGAACATGTCTGGTGTGTAATTCAGGTTCATTCCAGGATTTCTTCTGCGAGCATTTCTAAGAATATCTTCGGTTAGACTTTCCTTATAAGATTCCCATAATTGTGCTGGATTGGATGGTCCACAGACAGCTAGTATTAATGCGAATAAATTTCTCAGTCTGGCTGGTGATTGAGCCACAGCTGCTTCAGACATTGTGGCATCCCATTGCTTGTCATCTTCCAGTAGTCTATGTAACAGACATGCTTCACGAAACGTTCCACATACTCGATCATTTACAGTTCGAAGAGCTTCAAATGAAGTAGGACCTCTGACCGTATGAAGTAAGAGCCGCAGAGAAAAGCATTCGAAGTTGTTGGGATGGACAGTGTAGACACGACTTAGAGCATCTGATTCTCTAACATCTGGATAACCAACCACAGCAGTCCCCTGGATACGCCGCTTGAAAACTTTCCCCGATGAATCCCATGTATAATATTTTGGAACATCACAATAGAGCAGCCTTTTAGCGAAGTCATCTTTCTGACAGAGTAAGAAAAATGCTGTTAATTTTGTCCGTGGTGGTTCATTAACTCTCTCATGTACATTATCTTCCGTAAAGTAAACACATTGGCCATTTTCTAAATGAACAGCCAAATGAACCACTGTTGGATATCGTTCATGAATTGGAAAACTTAGAATTCGCCAAACAGCCTCGTTACTACTAATATATCTACCCAGCTGATAATGTTTGATTTCATCGACGGTTTTGTCTTTCTCTAAGCCAAACACAGCCTGATCGCTGCCTTTGTTAACATATTTGCAAATGTATTTGATCGACTTCACTGAATTGCAATATTCGACGTTAATATGAGCTTGGAAAAGTCTCGATAGCAGCGGACAATATGGTACAACCCATCGGTTGTCGATTTCCATCTCTTGAACAACGTTGTTAATTTTGATTTTGATTTTGGTTTTAGCACCACCATCGTCTGGGCTTCTTCTTCTGTATGTTGGATATCCATCGTCTCCAGTCTCTGTTTCTTGTACGAATTGTTTTGGATATCTTTTTGTGCACTTTTTTATTTTCGAATTAGGAGGTTCTTCCATACAGCGAGAGTTTTGGTTGTGATCACCACATGGACCGTGAATCATGGTCTTGACAATTATTTCAAATAGACGGGGATCTTGTTCAGGATCTGGTAGTTCTGCGCTGATCACACTATCTATTTGATCTGGTTTGATCTTTTCTTTCAACCATATCAAGATGTGCGCGTCTGGTAATCCTCTCTTCTGCCATTCAATTGAATACATCCAACATCTTGTTGGGCCAAATACATGTGTTTTAGTAATGATATTCATCAACATGGTTAATTTCAGCTTGAACAGTCTTGCCAACAAATCATGTCGGTCGGCAGGTTCTTGACCATCCATCAGCTCTTCTTTTATTTCTTCCCAGTTTCGATTGCAGGTGAATGTCACGAACAGGTCAGGTCTTCCATAGTTTCTTACATATGTCATAGAATCTTGTCTGTACTCATGCATGTGGCGTGGACTTCCAGTGAAAGTAGATGGAAATATCACTAACTGACCAATATTATCAGCCTTCCCGTCACTGGTTATGGCATCTTTCAGATGAATATATTCATCAACCCTAAGTTTCTTCTGATTTAGACGCACAAACAGCAGACGTTCGCTTTCTATCTTGGCGTACATATCAACTATGAACTGATGGAACAATTGGCGACATCGGAGAATGTGATTGACAGATCTATCTCGCACCATTATCCTATAAGCATAGAAGTCCATAGCAGATACCTTTTTTCTGTCGACAGCTTCTCTTGTTGTAGGATCAACTTGCATAACAGAGAAATTATATCCATTTTCTCCCTCCCAGAAAATAAGAGGATATTGTAGAGCGTCATATGACCTATGTGTTTCAGACACAGTCTTTAGTCCACGGTTTTTCTTCTCTAAGACAATGTCTCTGCGTATGTCAGAAATAACACTGCAACGCCGATCTGCTTGTTGGCGTTCATCACCCATGAAATATATTTGAAGAAATGTAGGTTGTTCGCCGGAAGGTGGTAAGAGAGATCCTACATGATGATATAATTACCTGACCCTGTACCTTGAACATTGGCATATAACCTGCTTCTTTCGCCGTCTGTGTTGCACCAAAAGATGTCATCTAAAAACATGAGTTGTATTTTCTGATGTTCACCAAGAAATGCGTCGATTCGACTTTTTTTCAGATATAAGTGATTCCAATGGTTCAGGAGGTGGCTTGAGTGATGGTAATTCTACTTTACCATTGGAGCAACACATACCTGGTGTTTCTTCGCGCTACTTGAGTGCCTTACAATATGAACAGATTTTACTCATCCGACCAATACACAACTGTGGATGAGCATCATAGGATTTTGTTGGATCATATATGAATGCTTCTCCCTGCATGAATGTCCACTGTGCTGCTCTGGAGACTGCTTGTCGTCTACGTTGATCTTCACTCCGAGTACGTCTCTGTTCTGGAGATTCAGCTGCTCTTGTCGTGGCATGTCTGGTTCAATATTCACCACGTCGCAAAGGACAATTAATTCGAGCAGCACGTCTCTGTTCTCATGTCCAAGATTTTAACAACGAGAGATCGAATATTGAATTTACTTTATTATTAAATGGCTATCCGCCAAGATTCATTTCTTATCATTTTAAAAAATTCTTTCAACAAAATAATTTATCAATCTTGATGGAGAAATTAGACCAAGTCACATATAAAAATCTTCATCAACATCTAATAAACAAATCCACACACAGAGAACATCAAAAGCAACAACAAACATTAAATATGAATCAATATCAATATACAAATAAGAAACGGATTCGTGTATATCAGAGACCGACGGTATTGCAAAATTTTAATACCGCCTCGTACCGCGTACCGTCTTCTTTAGTTCCATACCGTACCGTACCGTCTCGCCTGATAATTATCTGAT